TGCCCCGGCATTCACCACAAAAATGTGGTCTTGGGTCGTTCTTTAATATCATCACAGTTAAGAAGACTGGCCAGCAACGGTTTCCGGCATTTTATAGTAAATTTCGGTAATTGTCTACATGTAGAATTCCCAATATTAAGTAAAACTAATGATTACATCTAAAACTTTGTCAACTGTTTGCTTTTTAACAGTACCTGGGCCATGCGGCCGGCTAGCGCGATGAGCACTGCACATCATAAACATTGTAGCTCATCGTAGCAGTGTTTGAAAGCAATTTTTAATAGCGCTTCATCACAAAACGCTTTCATTGTAATAGTAGCCACATAACGTACAAGTATAAAGATTATTCTAAAAGAACAACGCAAAATTAAGCATAAACAGGAGCTCATCACTATGGCATAAATTTCAATTGCTTCTTTCCGAGTCGTTGTGTCGGGTGTTACGCAAAACAAACGTTATCGATTCAACACATAAAGAAACCAGAAATTAAACGGAACATACAGGCAACAATTTCTTTTTAAAAGATCAATTCTTAAACATTTACGCTCATACAGCAAAGATACAAGGAACATTCCGTGTGAACCACATCGCTAAAGATCGCGAGGGGCTGTTGTCAGTACTTTCTGGTAAAATACAACTACGGATCGGAGTCATAAATCGAATGCCTGTTAAAACGTTTCATGTTCGATGGATTCTTTCCTCAAACCTCACACGACCACCTGTACAACAAAAGATTGCTGGGTTTTGTCCTTCTGATTCCAATCACTCGAGAGAGTAAATTGCTGCAGACAGTCGGAAGTCATGTCGTAGATCCATGTAGATCGACTTCACTCGCGGCTGCGTCCTATTAGTTCCAAGGGCGGATCCAGGATTTTTTTAGGGGGGGTGCACTCGTCTCTTGCTCTACTTCAACACCAATAAACCACATAGTTTTTTTTTTTTTTGCAGAATACCATTTGTATTAGAAAACCGCAGGTCATCTCAGGGGGGGTGCGCACCCCCTGCACCCTCCCCATAGATCCTCCCCTGAGTTCGATATTAGTAGTCCACGGCTGTATTAAGGAAACCCTTTTCAACTTTCTTTACATATTTAACGTTTAATAACTATCCAGTAAAGGTAGATCGTTGACTGGAGAACTTAACAGACAGAAATGAAAGCCAGACGACCACATTACACGCCACACTTGATCAGTTTGTAGGAACACTAACAACAACGAACATGGCTTCGTGCACTTTTCCTCTTGATATCACTGTAATAACGGATACTTCTTTGTTAAAAGAAAAGGCCTCCAAGTCAATTTTTCCCAGTTTTTAAACCTATTTACACTGTCCAGAACGCGCTAATAGCGATGTCCTAACACCATCAATTACGGGTCATACATGCACAAGAGTGAGCGAGAACTGCTGGCACTACCAGTGAGGAAGGGGGGACTAGGAAACCCAGTTGAGCGAGCCAGGTCCCCCCCGTCTTATTTTTAGACCAAACTGAGGCCCAAAGGGCAGAAAAAATTTTTTTTGGAGACCAGACCCCCCCCCCCCTTTATTTAAGNTTATTTAAGGTTCTGGATGACCGGGCCCCCCCTGGAACCGTGACTAGGATTTGTGTACTGATCCTGCACACAACTTGCCTAGTCCTTGTGCGGCATCTTCCCAGGCCTTCTCGGTCAATGCATTTCAGTGACGTATCCAAGCTGAACGGACTCAGAGACTCACTCAGACCACGTGACCTGAAACACATTGGCTGCGCACAATAATGAGGCCTAGGGACATGGCAAGTGCATTACATGACAAAAACCAAAGAACAAGAAGGAACAAAATCCTGGGAGGTACTTCCTCATAAGAGGCTAATGGGGATGTGCCGCTGGATGGGGTCGCTTTTCACGACTGGAGTGACTGTAATGGGGATAGATTTTCAACAAAGTTACTAGAATGGGGTCGCACATTTTCGGATTTTTGGGTAAGACAGTTCTTTATATTTATGATTAACAAACATACCAGAATGATTGTACAGTAGGTGAAAAGTTATAAGGTAGATACATAAATAAAAAGTGACTAAGTTGGCATCGCAAAAATTACATATTTGCACTGAACATTGACTTAGATGCGGTCTATAATTGGCCACAGAATAGACTATAATGGGGTAGGGGCTCTGAGAGGCCAGTGGCACATATCTAGCAAAAATTAACCCAAGTACCTCCCCCCCCCGCCCATCCCAGGGGCAAAAACATGACAATTGAGGGCGAGACTGTGTCTTACTCTTATATTTTGGTAAAAATTAGCAAATTGATTTTATTTCACTTTTCAGACAAAGTGTGTGGTTTGCTTTTTCTTTTAAATAATTATTGTCCTTTGCAGTGTTTGGAATATGCACCATAAAGCTTCATATCGCTGATAAGAACCACCAAAGAGTTAGGCTATCTTCAAGGTAGAGAGCTTTCAGCAATGGTTGTGATTTGTTTACTAGGATTGTTTTGAATTTTGACTTTGAGTTCAAGGAGTTGACTGATCAAAATAAACAAAATGAAATGTTATCACTGTTATTATGAAGTGTGAATCTGTTTATTCACGTGTGTAAGCTCATATTAATTTTATAAGCTCTATTGAATAGACCAATACTTCCGATAAATTTGACACTTTCTGCAATAATTTTTATCAGCACCATAACTTCTATAATCCTCTGATGTCCTTCCCCGGCAAAAACTATGTAACCTACAAACTTTATTGATAGTCCAGTGCGTAACTTGCTGTCGGTTAAGAATTTACACCGTTGCAGTGACTGTTGATTGCATTTTCCAATTTCAGTACCAAAGGACAAGTAGGATATGAGAGGAAAACAAACAGGCATAACATTATTTTTTTTCAATCATCGAATTATTTCCTCAGCCAGTTCGCTTCTTGTTTCTAAAATACTTTAGGAAAAATACTGCAGCTATCTGCTGACCATCACACAAGGTGACTGCTTTGCAAGTTGTGAGAGCATCTTTTCTTGGTCCCAGGCCTCATCTCTTCCCCCCCCCCACCCCTGATAATTATTTTCAAGTAAAACCTCTGAGACCTTGGTTATGGTAGTACCAGCCCCGAGATTCTACCATACCATACCATAAGGTAGTAGGAAAGTTCGCACTAGGTTTACGAGTAGAGAGGTGAAATGCTAGCTGAGTTTTGACACAATGTATAAGGGCTTTTAAAAAAAAACATCCCCTTTTGCTCGCTTCCACAAAGAAGCAAACAAAAAAACTGCTGTTCACAGTCACCCCCTCCTCCCCCCCCCCTCTTCCCCACTGGATGCCCATCGGACCCTGAAGTTTGTTCGTATATTACAACAGCATACACTCACAGTGTCACTACTTTCAATTCAAATTTAAACATCCTTTAAGCCCCGTGCAAATAGACGCAGTTCATTATTGCCCAACAACTCCCAACATTGTTGGATGTTACATATTGCATTCGTCTGCACACCCTGTTGCATTTTGGTGCATGTTGTCGGGAGTTGTTGTATCTGTTTGCACACCAATGAAACACAGACACAACAACATGCAACATTGTTGTCGCGACAATGTTGGGAGTTGTTGAGTCCCTTTGCACCTACCTTTTGGTAATTGGGAACTACACAATACAAATTAAAATTAGGAGTAATTTTTACACTTAGAAGCAATATAAAGACAAGTTACATGAAGTATGATCATCAGTAAAAGAAACCTTCATTTCAGTTCACTTGCATTACATTTTGCATAATGTTACTGTAAAAATGAATGTGGAAATTCTGACGTTAGCATTTAATTGAACACCGTTGATGAACAACTTACCTTCCTTGTTGTCCCTTTTCAACTGCTCCAAACGGCGAATTTTAAGTGATTTAAAGGGTTTTGCTTAACGTACCGTACTATCTTTTTACTGCAGAGCCGATCGCAAAGCTTCCAATCTTCCAAACCAGTCAGATTTTTGAGAAGCTGAATCCTCAAAATGTCATCCCGTATTACTCTATGGAAATCCGACCAAAAGTTAAAGGACCAACAGCTAAATAAATTTAAGACAACCAGGAACAGTAGGGTGTTCAACAGGCAGTGTGAACCGTATGGAGAATCACAAGGAATGTGCGTGGGCTCACGCGGGAGAATAAACACTAATGACGTCACAAATTTTCTGGTCCGTGCTGTGACCTGGGGCGCGATCCATTCAACCAAAATTTCCGGAAATTTCGGTCCAAAACTCAATGGATCGGTTCGGTCCAACCGGAAAAGTTTCGAAAAAACGGGTCCACCTTTTGAGGTGGACCACGGGCGCGATCCATTCAACCAAAATTCAGACCGGTCCGACCGGGAAAAGAGGACCACCTCAAAAGGTGGACCTGTTTTTTCGAAACTTTTTCGGTTGGACCGAACCGATCCATTGAGTTTTGGACCGAAATTTCCGGAAATTTTGGTTGAATGGATCGCGCCCCACTTTTCCCGGTCGGACCGGTTGGAATTTTGGTTGAATGGATCGCGCCCCTGGCCAGTATAAGAGTTTAGTATGGGAAAGTCACGTTCGGTAACGAATGTTCGTCGTCTTTGAAGATGTTTATCGTTAAAGGAAACAAAATCCAGCTTGGTTCCGATAATAAATATCCTGAAAATAATCAACGCTTGCCAAGACAGCGTTAAACATGGAAAAAACTGTACAGATGAGTGGTTTTATTTCTTATGCCGCGTCATGATACTGTGGGTAAAACTATGTTAAATGAAATGTGTGGAGAGCAGGGCTTCCTAGCTGTGCTTGAAACGGTGCATTTGGTTAAATTTATAGGCAAAGGTTGCTCAATTTTTTTTTCGAGTGCTTATGTTACGCTACTTAGCACTACACCGTATTAAAGTATTCAGCCCGGATTCGTTCATATGGTAGCCTGCGAGCAAGCTCTCCTATTTGGGCGAGTGAAGCGAGTCTCGCGTTCTCGCGAGGCTCACTTCGCTTACCCAAATAGGAGAGCTTGCTCGCAGGCTATTCATATGGTCTACCTGGCC